TTGTGTGACATTGCTTCTTATTGTTCAGCTCTTACGGGGAGGCTTAACTTTGTTTCATTATGTGTTCATTTTGCCACCGATGGTTCCTTCAAAATGGTAAACACAAATGAAAGCGCATAGGTATTAGATATACTGATAGACTCTGAAAGGTACTATAAGCTAAATGCAAGAGCATGGAAACGGAGGACTCGGCTTGAATGCATTAGTAAGTGGACTTGCAAATCAGGAGATTTATAACAATATATTCTTGTTTCCTAGTTCGCTCTGTGGAACTTGAAATTGCCTATATTCACATGATGTTCAAGATAAAACTGAAGTGTCACACAGAAGTGCTCGTCACTCCACGTGCCCCAACTCTGCAGGAGTTGGGGAAATGGTCACTTCTCACAATTTACTTCTCTACTTGGTCAGGCGAGGCAGTTTCTCCCCTACCCCCCAATTTTCCCTCCTTTGAGTCTCATCTTTCATCTCACACCTATACCCTGCACTCACACCTTGTTTCCCCTATTTGCATATTTTTTCCTTACAGCCTCCTGCAGTTCAGTTTTGAGTTCAGTTAAGCAGCTGTAGCACTTGTCTAGCCCAAGTTGAAAAGTATGGGGTTTGGACCATGGGATCACTATGAACACATTTTAAGAGCTGAAAGTAGGGGGGGAAAAAAGTGTAATGAAAAATTTAGGCCTGCAGACAGAAAGTGAAGGCTATAAAAGTGGTCCAGAGGGTGGTGACCAGCGGCACAAAGTCCTGCTGGAGACCAGTCACTAGTGGTGTAACCCCACAGCCAATACTGAGGCCAATACTGTTTAACATCGCCATTAATGACCTGGATGATGAGGCAGCGTGCACCCTCAGCAAGTTTGAGGATGATATAAAACTGAGAGGAGTGGCTGATACACCAGAGGGTCGTGCTGCTATCCAGAGGGACATTGACAGGCTGGAGAAATGGTCCGACAGAAACGTCAAGAAGTTCAACAAGGGGAAGTGTAAACTCCTGAACAAGGGAGGAATAACCCCAGCACCAGTACAGGCTGGGAGCTGACTGACTGGACATGAGCTCTTCAGGGAAGGACGTGGGAGTCCTGGTGGACAACAAGCTGACCGCAAGCCAGCGACCCCTCACAGTGCTGCCTACAATAACCCCCAGAGCACGCTAAGTGTCCTACCTAGCTCATCTCAGCCACGCACCTTTTATTTTAGCAGACATAAATCTCCATTCCACCACCTGCACTGCAGATACCCCATCCCCAAGCTCTCTGCCCCTCTCCTGCTTCCCATATTCTCCTGGCTGCTCTTAGGCAGCTTTCTGACACTCTCATTGCTGTTTCCATATAACTTCCCAGGCACTGCTGTCACTTACTTGTCATCCTGCTTTCCCTCACGATCATCCTATATGGCATCTCTACTCTTCCCATGGCCACTAGGGATACAAGGTCTTTCCTGGCCATCACCTTCAGCCCCACCCTGAAGAAGAGAGGTCTCATTTTTGCCTGCAAACATTCACAGGACCGCGACAGCTTTTGTGCTGAGAGCAGCATAAAACTTCTGTCCCTAATAGGGGACAGTGAACATTTGATGCAAAAGAGAAGTTTTATGAGTTTGAAAGCAGAAATTTTTAAAAAAAACGCATGGAAATTCTTACAAAACTGTACTAGGAGACGTATGATACAAATAACAAGAATGGAAAAACATTTTGAAATAAAAAGAAGTATGATTGAAAATTAAATAGAGGGTGGATTAGGCAACACTTGCTGAAAAAAACTTTCAGTCTTGGTCAATATTTCTCCCTGTAGCAATACCAGTGGGTTACCAATTTCATCTTGTGCCGTGTGGGATGGAAAATGTTAGAACAAAGGAAATGTCAGGATAAAGGAAAAAAAGCTGGGCACTTCTATCACCAGGACTCTCAGCCCTCCAACATGAGATCTAAACATTGTCTTTCATTCACTCCATTTCAAACTCCTGTAGTACCTACTATTTTTCTTCTGAGTAATTTGACCATCATTTTTTCTCATCACTCAGCTCTTTTTTAACCTACCAGATAATGGGATTTTTGTCCACCTCCTTCAACTTCAGTTAAATGTTTATATTATGTTATCAAATACTTGTTCATTAAAACTGCATCCCATAAAATCTGTGAGAAGTTGGTGAACACTTAAGTAGCTACCCTGCAATCCACTCTCTCTTACCATAGCCTACATTACCAAGAGTATCCAAGCAAGTTAGTTTAAAGCAATCTCAAATACGTCTACAGGTCTAGAAACTGCAGTATAAATTTACCCTTATGCATTTGCATAGATTACATACAACAAATGAAAGCTTTCTTTCCTGAGGTAGGTGAATTTGGAATGCAAATGGTAAATCCTGAATTTCAGACAAACAAATGATTGCCTATCAAAACTTCTTTCCAAACGAGTCCTTAGAGTATTGCATACATGTAAAGGGGGAAAATTTGAAAGATCCAGACAATTGCCGCAGGCATCTTTAATTCTAATAATACTTCCCACTTGCAGATAGAAGCACGAGCCTGAAAGATGTAATAATAGCTAAATGGATATTAGCATCTGCCATTACCTGATCTATCTGCACAATTACAGCAGGTTGTGAATGCTAAATTTGCTTATCAAATCTGGCTTAAAAGAGCCTAAACCAACCCCTTTTCAGGAACAACTTATCACCTACATGATGTTTGGAACTGATGGAAGTTTAACTTAGAGAAAAACTACATGGGTATCATGCCTAAAAGAGCTGAGAAGTAATTGCTTCCAGAGAGATTTCTTGCCCAAACCGAACCGAAGGGGGAATACAACAGTCAACTCCATTTCTGAAAAACAGGTATTAAAAGGCCAGAGAACTCCACCAAAAATTAGATTTTTCATCTCCTTTAACAATGCCAGAAACAAAAATGTTAAGACTAAAAACATCTCAAGACATACCACAGGTGTCAAATAAGAGTAAACAATCATTGTCTCTGCTCTGAGAAAGTCACGGTGATTCAGGCAAATACTCATTTAGTCCTATAAATATTATAAATTTTTTAAGTCATGGGAGCTCTACCAATTTGACAAGAGGATGATGTGACCATCTTTGTATTGGCATACAGGCCTCTGAATACACCCCAGAAAAAAAATAATCTCCCTTTATTCTGCCAAAACCAACCATTTCCTCCCCATCCAAAAAGATCAAACAGAAAATCACAGACTGTGTAAGTGTTGAAGCAAGGTGTCCTGCTGGCATAAATGGAATGTGAAATAAATGAACATGAAATAAATCTAAGCAGAAAACTTTATCTACTGCTGATAACAGAAATGTTGTCTAGAAGCTTTTTCAGACATGTTCTCATACTTCTAGCATGGCTGGGTTTCCACAGATGGTGATTCTTTAGGAAGCAAACCTCAGTCTTAGAAATTGGTTTGAAACAGAAGCAGATACTACAACCTAAAAGCAGAGTCTTACGCCTGTATTCTTATCTGTTCCACAAATTTCATATTGTTAAGTAATTTATTTAGATTGCAAAACTACTTTGACATCACTGAGGATGGCAGAACTGCTTCTGATCACAAGCACTTTATTTAATCATTGCCAAAGAGAAAGAAGTCAATGAAATGTGAACAGTTAGATATAATACACCTGCCTAGCAAAAAAAAAAGAAAAAAAAAATTAAAAATATCCAGACTTCATATGTGGGCACTCAGGAAAAAAAGTTGGAAAAAAAATATATACTACTAGAAAATGTGCCATTGCAGGAAGTGTTATGGTCCTGAAGACAGTGAGTATTTCACTGTTGAGATAGCTTAACATCACTGTGAGGCTGCTATTTGCAATATACTATGTCAATGTTAAAAAGAAAATTCAACATGCAAACTAATATGTTAAAAATGTGTAAAGAGACATATGCAATTTGCATTCTAAGGCATCATCCATCCATCCATCCAAGGGAGGATGTCATAAAAAGCATAAACCCACTTACCTCTTCTTGCTTAGGAATGCTGAACTTGGCTATCTTTGACTTGGTCCTGGCCGAATCAGGCTTGTTAGAAGGCACTCCCCTATACGACTTGGTCGTCTCTGCTGGTAACTTCAGCTTTGGAGACTCATCAGGAGCCTGGTCTTGACCGTCCATTGGCCTGACATAAGCT